GAATGGAGGCACGGGTGGCAACACTGTGCGTCGCGTGCTCGGAACCGTGTCTTCCGCGTGGGTGGAGCCCTCTGCTGCGATGCGACCCTAGCTTGTCTCACGCGAGCGGGCGAGCCCCACTCCGGCGCGGCCAACCAGGATGGCGCAGTCCGGCGCACCGCCTTGCAGCGCAAACACGCCACCCACCCTGAGCTCGCTGACGGGGGCGTGCAACCCGATGCAGTGATGCTGGTCAGGCGCCTCGTCGCCCTCCGGGCGCCCAGAGCCCCCCGCTGTGCGCGCCCCGCAAAAGCCGCGTGGGCGCGCCGCTGGTACTTTCAGTCGCGGAAGCAGCTCCACGAGATTGTCCTACTTGTTTCTATGCCATAGCGTCGTTTTCGCTGTTTGTCCCGGGGATGTAACATGGAGCTGCGACCTCATGGAGCTGCGACCTCGAAGATGACGTGCAAGCAAACAATCCCTCCATACTCCTACTCTAATTGGTTGAGGTTGTACTCTGGCTTGGTTTTTCATGTTGCACACCAGAGGGAAAGTTTGTATTGCTAACCAGAACCACGATACGACGGACCGGGAACACCCGAGTTACAGGCGCGGGGGACCCTGGTCCTGATATACAGGGATGCATGACCCCTTTCTGAAGTGGTGTTAGGCAGTGTTTACTTTTCCCAGGGTTCGGTGTATCAGCCTTCATACCGTGCAAAGGGGGAGTGCCAAGCCGAATGGTGCCCATGCATGTTTTGACCTTGCAGAACATGTCTGAGGCAGGGGGAGTTGTTTTGACTTGAGTCATACTCTGTGTTGGTACGTAGTTGTTGCCTGAAGTCGACCCCCCGCCCAGCTGATGCTTTCAGTGCCAAGACAGGGGGAACAAATCCACTCATAGATGAAAATCAGTCCCTCTGGCGTTCTTTACTTTTCTGCAGATCTGGCGGTTAACACTTCTGTTGCTCGCCTTTTTTCTTTCAATTGGGGGACTGATTCTCACCAATCGTGGGTACGTACAGAACTCTCCCCTCTTGGTACGTACTGTGGTACGTACAGCTCTCCCCGAAAGCCCAAGAACGATGGGGGGCCCTATGGGCCGGGGAGCCTGACCAGCTCCTCTAACCCGAAGGAAGAAGAGACGGTTCAAGCCCGTGGAGCCCTGCTTCTCTCCACTCCTCTTCTGCCACCCCACGGGACAACCGTCGTTCTCCCTTTGCCACTCCTTTCCTTCTTCCGCCGCATTGCAGAACAGGGAGGACAATACCCTGGCGCTCTTCAACTTCCGAGTTGTCTACCGAGAGTTCGGTGCCTTCAGTCCAGTACGGTGACAGCTGCGGTTCGTGTCCATCAGGAATTTTGTCACCACTCTACCAGGACAATATCGGCGAGCCTTTACGGGGAACTGCCCGACTGCCTTGTACCGGTTCTTTGACCGCACTGGGCGGGGGACTTTGTCTCCTTAGTGTTCGTGACTGTGGCAAGGCCAAGGAGCTTGAGATCCTCACACTATGCAGGAGGCGACTCCTACTTTGCGGAAACGAGGGGTTTTTTCTCCAAATTAAATGCTTCAGATGCATTAAAGGGCCAAGCTTCCATGGGGGACATGTGCGTGAAGACCCTGACTGCGTCCTTCACGGGTGCACTGGTGCCCGCGCCTTCCGCCGGGGGAACTACTTCAAGTGCGACTCCTTGCCTGAAGTGCTTCAAAGGCGAAAGCAGTCACGAGAAGCACAATCCTCTTGCAGACAACTGCATACTCTTTGGGGTCCGTAACCCCACACCAGCGAAGGCCGCCGCCGCCTTCAACAGGCCCCCGTTCTCCTAGGCGAACTATCTGCTTGCCGTCCTCGAGCTCGCGTCCACCCTCCCTGTCGTCCCCTACTACCACCTCTTGCAAAGACCGCCAACGACCGCCAACGAGCCGGCAGACAATACGCCGGTGCCTGAGCAGCCTGAATGGGTTCTGCGTCCCCCAGTCCGGACGAAGACATCCAGGATTATTAGGGGACCAACGCCTCTGGAAGCGGGAGCTGCTCCTGCAATCCCTGCTCAAACGCCTCCTACCTCGATGAGACCCACGCGCGACTTCGCATCCAACGACTCCGAGTTCGCTGCCCACAATTACCGGCCAAATGCAGCTCCCGGCCCTACCTTTGCTGACGGGAATGCCTCTCAAGATGCCACGGCGGGGGCAACCCCGAGACCTGTCAACACCAACACCAACGACCTCCTTGACCACCGCGACTTCGAGACATTCCAGCACTCCGATAACAACAATGGGCCCTACAACAAGACAACCAGCCAGGGGACCTCGACAGTTTCGGTGACCCGCATGAACAGGATGTATGGGCACTGCTTGAGCCCCCTGCCCCCAGGCTGGAAACATGGAGAAGACTTTACGAAGGGGCTGCACCGCTCTACTGACGTTTTCGACGACCTGCCGAATGACGAGGGCAATCATGCAGACAACTCCGATGGCTGGCCGAAAGTCGAGGGCTACGAGGACTTTAACCAGCCAGCAACCGACGAAGCGTGTGACAATGGTGAACTGACAGCACCGACTCTGCCGTCGGACCGCGACCGGACCAACGAGGGCAACAATGCAGACATCCCGCACCACTTGCCGAAAAAGGAGAGCAACGAGGACCTCAACGAACCAACAGCTGACAGAGCGCGTGACAACGGAGTCCTGTCCGAACCAGCCATGCCCTCTGATCGTGATCTCGGGGATAGCCCCGTACATGCTGCTGCTGAAGCATGCGAAAATGGAGAGTCAGCAATGCCACTTGATCCAGACGGGGAGGATGACCCCAGGGTACCTTCCAGTCCTGCTTCAAAAGACAGCGGCCAGAGAACGATCGGCAAGAGGCTCCTGTTCCTGTACCGGTGGGTCCACCATCGCGCGTGAGCGCAGCACAACGCGCGCGCGCCTTCACGAACTGCTCCAACAACGGGATGCCCATGGCCGAGCACCTTTTCACTTGGACGACTACGACAACGACTCGGGGAAGTGGGCCGCTTACAGGCGAGCAGTCAAAGAGCGCTACCGTGAGCATCGAAAGCGCAAGAGGGCCGAAGGTACGCGGGAAAAAAAGACCAGCACAGGGGAGGGCCCCCTCCTCCGCGCCGTGCCCCGCCTCGGCCAGACCGTCCACCACTTCCTCGTCAACGAGGCCGCTCCACTGCCACGCAGGAGAGGACCACCAAGATGACCGAGGACCCCCACGGTGAGCTCTGGTGGGGGAAGTGAGCACTTAGCGAAGGTTTTCCATTTCTGGGAGTAACCCAATCGCCTGGCGCAGCACTCTTCCAGGACAAATTTTGTTTCAGGCACAGTGGCACGCATGTGTAACCCAATCTCTTCCTTTCAAGTAGTCTCTCCACTCTCTTTTCCGTGCGAACACGGGGGAACACCCCTAGGAAAACTTTTCCTTGTACCATATGACGGGCCGCAGGAGCCATCCATTTGCCGATATGCCGTGCCTCTACTTGAGGCTTTAATTAACCAACCACGTGCCCTTTCAGAGCAGCCTGCAGGGGGGACATCCTTTCTTTATGGTCTTGTTATTTGGGACTTTACCTGACTTGCTTTCAGGGAACCTGCCTCTGCTGCATCATGCACCCTTTTCCGAGGCCATATCACCAAACTAGGAGGTGCTTTTCCTTAGCTGCCATCGTGTTCTGGGTGACTTGTACTGCCCTTGTTGTACGTGCCGTCTTTGAGCCTGTTTAAATTTGCCTCGATGGTGCAAGCTTTTCTTTCCACTCCTCCACCAAAACGGTCGGGGGCGCACTCGCGCGCGGGCTAGGGGGGAAACCTCTTGGCCCACAACCCTGTCGAAAGAAAGAGAGAAAGAAAGTGTACTGTTTCCCGCCGAAAGCCCCATCAGAAACCTTGGGGGGCCCTATGGGCCGGGGGGCCTAAAACAGAAGAAGAAGAAGAGAGAAAGAGAGAGACAGGCTCCTTTCCCAGCTGCACCCCGAACCCAGCGAGCCCACAAAAAATGTTACCGGGAGGGGGGTCCAGGTGCCCGAAACCTTGCCCCTGCCGACACTTGCCCCACCATCACCCCATGCCCGGTAACAGTTTGCCGGTTGCCCAGGCCTGCTTGGGACTGCTGTTCATACGATCCGAACAAAAAAACCACGGTCACTGAACAAACGGAAAGAGAGAGAGAGCTACATTCTACTATATAATGCTATACAATTACTTAGGACCATTGGAAATGTTACCGCGAGGGGGGCGTCCGAGTGGCGACAGTCTGCGGCGACTTGAACATGTTACCGGAACATTTTCACGTTGGGGGTCACTAAGACTAGGGCCATATTTTTATGTTTTGCCCAAAACAAATCAACTAAACGAGGGGGTGGAACTGCCCTGCGCGACTTGCTCCTCAATCCCTCTAGTCCAGCCACCTGCGGACAGACGGAAGAGGCAAACAAAACTGGGAAGAAGAACGGGCATTTGTCGCACAATGCAGCTCGTGCGGAGCAGAGGCAAAACGCAACGGGCTATTAGCAGTACTCGGATTAGGAGTGTTCTGATCGAAAAGTTGGTGGTTCACGCATGCTTTTGCCGCTCCCTATCAAGCCTGTCACATCGGCTTGTGGGTCTTGCATGTTATGCGAGCCAAGGGTCTGGGCCACTTTCACAGCACACTTGTGCGTGTAGGTGGATATCCATCGACGGTTGATCGCACTTCTTTCAATCCTGGAACACCTACACGCAAGCTTGTCGATCCGTTTTGTGAAAAACGTCCTTGCATCAGGTATGTGGCGGCCAAATTTATGAGAAGTCTTTCCGTGAAGTCAGTGCCGTCCGCCCCAGATCCACGGAAGCAACATGTCTTCCGTGGACCGGCGTGGCGACCATTCGATTGACGTTGCTTTTGGAGCGTGTGGGGCTTACAGTTGCTATGTATGTCTCTTCGTTTTTAACTTCTCTATATTGGCGAACCATGCGCAAACACCATCCACAGTACCCTGGATTGCGGACCGAGGCGTGGATCACCGCGATGGCTGTCGCCAACCAGTTGTATCACATGGCTCGGGCTCGCAAATGGGAGCAGTGCTTATCGACATTGGGCACCATGCGGGACAGGTGCTTGTCTTGTGGTTTTCCTAGGTCCTAGTTTCAAAGTGTGCACCCATAGCCCATGTTCGAGATAGCAGGTGCACGTCTGTTGACATCGTGGATTTCAACATCTGCATCCATGCCTGCCGGCATCACTGGGAGCATGCCCTTTCGTGCTTCAGGCATGCTCGCCAACAGAGCTTGCAACCCACCGTCAGGACATTCGGGTCCTTGTGTGCAGCATTGGGCGTAGGACACAGGTGGGTCCAGGTTCTTGCATTGTTGCAGCATGTGCCGTGCACATGGGACAACACCGACGTCTTGACCAACGTGGTGCTTGGGGTGTTCAAAAAAGCACATCGATGGGATCTCGCTCTGGAGTTGTGTGCTGGATGGAAAATTGCAAAGACCGTCGACTCAGTTGGCATGATGGAGCTGGTAGGTGCATGTTCCAAGAGTTTCAGATGGCAAGAAGCCTTGGCGTTAGCATGTCCAAACAAGGAGCCTAAATTGCAAGTATACAACTGGTTGTTATACGGCTTCAGGGGTGGAGCTTGTTGGCAAGCAGGCATAGCTCTGCTTGACCATGCAGCTTCGCGACGTGTGGCGGCAAACGCAATTTCTCATCGGCATCTGATGTTTTTACTTGACGGTGCCCCGTGGCAACAGGCAGTTCAACTGTTGCAGGATTCATGTGGGTGGTCTCAGCGCTGGCGAGAGGTCGATGCTGAAACAATTGTGCTGGCCACTGCTGCTATGGAATGTCAGCATCGCCCGGTGGAGAATCTGCACATCTTTGGTCAAATTGTTTATCACAAACTGCACATGCATGCAAGGAATGGCAGTGCAGCCTTCACAAGCAAAGGTGCACACGACATCACCATTTTACATGATTCCTGGGTGAAGGCTGGATGGACTTCTTTGCTGGAGCCTGCTTGGTGCCGCCATTTTCTAAGCCCTGCCAGTGTTTCCTTACGAATGAAAAGATTTGTCCAGCCCAGCGCCATGTGCCGCTTATCCCACACAACTCTGGAGAATGCGCATGTCGTGCCCAGCTTCGTCGCGCGGCTAGTCACAGAAGTCAATTCTCTCCGTGGTGCATCGCGCTGGAGAACCACGTGGTGGATGCAAGCACAGCTCGCTTTGCGTCCTCTGTTTGCGGAGTCGAGAGTTCTCCGAAGGGCTGATGCTGGCACTGTGCGTGCATGGATCGGATATGTTTTGATGCTGCCGGAGTCTGCCGTGTCCATGCGCGATGAACTGACATTTGAGGCGAAGCCCTCTGGCACATCCGCTTGAATACTTGGAAACATCCGAATTGGCCATGTGCAGAAGCGCTAGTACATTAAGCGAATGATCCTGCATTTGTTGAGGTTTGGACCTGCGCGACATTGCAAACCGTCGGCAAGTCTTTGCTGATTGCGTTTGCAGCAATGAGCCGAGCTACCAGAACAGCTTGTATGCATCTGCGTTGTCCTGCGGGTAGCAGCATTTGGCTGTGCATGGAGGCTAGTACCGTGAAAGGAAGCTACGAGTTCGACATGCAGGAGCTTGTCCCACACTTAATTACTGCAGCCAGCAAGCATGAAATACCAGACTTTTCTTGAGCAGCTGAGAGTGTGAGAGGGCAGGGAAGGCTCGCACTGCCTAGCGAGAAGACAGTGCTTACATCCGACAATCTCAGAGACATTTTAAGATTCAAGTCGAAGGGAAGGTGCCACTGCAGTCGATATCGCTCTTCGGCAAAAGCAGGCGTTGCTGTGCTCGTGTCGAGCCGTTTGGAAACGGCACCGTCGCTCTGAAACAAAACCCTATCGCCCATCGCTGCAAGGGCACGCTGCTTCGGAAAAAAGAAAAACAGACGGGCGACTGTCAACGTGATGATTTGGCAGGCCAGGCATGCTTGCCACGGCCGTCAGTTCAGAGCGTTGCTGAGGCCGCTACAGCGCGAGGTTCCGGCGATGTGAGAGCATGGACCGGTCCGCTGATTGCTGCTGCATGGAGTGCTTGGCTGGGAACTTGTCTTGGGAGAGCCCATGTCCACTGCTTATGGCTTGTCTGCAGGAGCATAGACTCCGCCTGTATGAGCACCTTCCAGACTGTGATTCTTCATGATTCCTGCATAGCCGCTTCCATTCAAAACCAGCGTTTCCCACATTGGCATGCCGCAGCCAGACGCAAATGCTCCCTCTAGTTCAGGCCACGGATGGTTTACTCGTCGGGTTTGAGTACGCATGCGCGCGCATGTGTGTATGTATGTGTGTGGCCGTTTGCCAGCATCTTGTTTATCGCCAGAGTGGAGGCCATTCCTCTTTCACGAGGGCGAACTCTGCGCATCCTGCCCGCAAGACCGCATACGCCGCTTACGAAGAGGTGAGTCTATAGGTTTGGTGCGCCCCGCTGTTCTGATTTTGTGAGGTGGCTGGATGAGGTGCTCAAGAGCGAACGAGCCGCCATGGCGGCGGCAATGGTGAAGCACATGGAAGATCACCATCGCCACTTGCGCCTTTGCTAAGTGGACAGGGTCGGTGCGCCTGATTCATGTCGGCGAGCTTCTCAGGCTGAAAAGATTCCAGGATTGGAGCGAACTGCAGGCGCGCCACAGAGTGAGTCCTGCTGTGGTGCTGGTTTGGGTTGCCCCTGCCGTTGGAGGCTAAGAATGCCAAGTCTGAGATGCAGAAGGCCTCTTGGATCCGTTTGTCAGGCTTGCCTGCGTTCATGTCTTCACTAGTTCACTAGTTTATTGACATGCCTTGAGGCTGTCTTGTCGGCATCACAGGACTGCACACAGACATTCATCGTCATGTGGTCATTTTTTCGTTTGGGCGGCAGATGGCTCTCTTCAGAGTCCAGGGTGGCATGTGAGGCTGCTCCTAAGAGCTGTTCAAGGCACCGTGAGACTCTAGTATTTGCCGGACATGAGCACCTCCGCAGGACTTTGCTGGTGCAGCTGGAGTGTCTTGGTCGAGATAACTCCTTTGGCGACGTCTTGCACAGCTGACGCTCCGAGGGATCCATTGACGCCGAGAGGGCCAGGCTGAAGACCTTAGCCGAGACCCTGGAGAGAGAGCGAGACCGCTGGGACACGGAAACAGCATACGCGCTCTGTTTTGATGTCTGCCGTGGTCCTGCGGTGAATCCTCGATTTTCCTGCAGGAGGAGCTGAACCAGTGGAAAACCTCTGCCTTTGTCCAGATCAGTGACCACAAAAGTGCTGCGGCTCTGCGCATGTTCAGTTTTTGTGGCCGTGACGTGGCGAGAACGGTCCCAGCATGTTCTGTAGAGACTGGCAGGTTGCCAATGCCGCAACAGCCGCAATGTCGCTTGAGAGCGGAAGTGCTGCCAAGATCAGATGGAAGCTTGCGACGGCAAGAATAGTGAACCTTCTTGGAAACCGAAACAAGACTTCACTGGTGGATAAGATGAAGAAGAACATGAAAGCATCCATGTTGGCCACGATGCCAGAGTTTAATGATGCCGCTAGGCTATAATTTAGCCATGTTATCTCACCACGCTTGTGCCATTGCATGTTGCATTGGTAGACATGACATGACCGGCCATGGCCGGCCATAAGGTTCCAGCTGAGAGGCACAAGACTATCTCCGTGGTTTGGGAAGAAAAGACTCCCCTGGACATGCTTCGGACGGGGGTGCCCTGCTTGCGGCGAGTCGTTACCAGCTACGTGTTCGAGCTCACGTTTGTCTCGCTCATACTCCTGAATTGCATCTCCATGATGGTTCAGATCGAGTTTTTTGGGTTGTTTCTGGCCACCAGTATGGGCATCAAAACCGGGATGGACACTGACTACAACGACATTTTCTACAACATTGAGCTGGTCTTTGGCCTTGTGTTTTCAGCCGAGATCCTCGTCAAATTCGTTGCCTACGGGTTGTTGGATTTCTGGAAATTTGGCTGGAACTTGCTGGACCTGTTTATTGCAAGTCCCCCAGTTCAGTGACAACGGTGAGTGAAAGAACGCGTGTCATTCATGCCATGTGTGCTTTTGGCTAGTACATGAGAGTGGGGCAGTCCAGAAACACCTGCAGGTTGTGACCTGGGCAATCGACGCGGGAGGGCTTGCGGTTGAGATCAATCCAATGGTGTTTCCAACTAAGTGGCTTCGCATAGGTGTCTCATGGAATCCAACAGTGAGGAGAGAATCTACCAGAATGCACCGAGGTTTCGCATGCTGCGGAAGCTTGGCTGCAAGCTTCCAGCCTGTTTTGTGGGAAGAGGTTTATCGCCGCTGACAGGATAGCAAAGCTTGGCCGAATCGTGTCTTTGCTGGAATGATGCTCGGGCTGCTCAATCTTGGCAGCATACATGCAGCCAAGGTGCGAGTGTTAAAGGTCATTCAGCGATTTGACTCGCTTCACCTCCTGTTGGGCTCGATCAGGGCGTCTTTCGATATCTTGGCATGGCAGCCCGGCTCGCCTTTGTTGCTCACCTTTTGCAAGCATCTTGCCAGATTTTCCGATCTGCGCAGCTTTACAGTGCAGGTCTGCGCTAGTCCTCCTTATTCTGATGACGGTTTGTGCTCTGGCATTGTCCCAATTCCTGCAGGGTTGGTGGCTCGGCACGAAATCGCTTCAGGGTCAATGAAAAGGCATGTGCGTGTGTGTCTGTGTGTGACTTGGGACGCTGACGCTTCATTCTGATGGCAGTGTGCGCTCCTCCCAATTTTGGCACGCCTCAGAGATGTCACACCGATCTTCGCTCCGGCTCTTCTCTTGTCTCAGTTCAAGAGTATTTCCAGGTATATGGTTGCTTGGCCGAGGATTGAAGCTTCCAGCAGTTCGGATGAGAACGTTCGGCAAGAAGTCTGGATTCTGTTCGGAACCGTGGGCCGGGCAATCGTGTCGATGTTTGAGCTAACGCTCGCCAACTACTCAGGCTGGCCTAACTTATCTGTGCAAATGCAACAGCTCTCCACAAAGACCGGGGAGGGGTGTCGTGCTGCCAGGCATTACGCGATCTCTGATGGAGAATGTCAGTGCTTGGTTCGCAGCCGGTGCCTCTGAGGAGATCAAGTCGGAGTGACAGTGTACGTTGTATGATGAAATCAGGTCGCGATTCTTATTTACAAGCTTGTAGTGGGCTTTGCCGTGCTGAAGGCCGCGCACATCAAGCATGCGCGAATGCTGTCCACTGCTGGCTTGCAGGGATTGGCTGCGCTATAACGCTAAACCCAGTACTTGCAGGTTATCACAGGCATCTTCATCCAACAGACCATGCGCGTAGCCAACGAAGATGACGAACTCCTCCTCTTGCAGAAGAAGCGGCTTGTGGACAGCCATGCAAAAGGTGTAGCTTGGCATTGTGCAGCCGGCCAGGAATCCAACGTATCAGTGTTCATTTTTTCATACTTAATTTCCCACAATGCCAGCATTGTCAGCTGACATGTTCCACTTGGTGTGGCGATTGCTTCTACTACGCCTACGCTCCTGAATCTTGCGGGTTTCACTTGTATGGTTCGCCTTGCCAAGACAGTTTTATTTAAGGGCTGCCGCCACTGCCGCCGACCCCGCTGCGCGTCGCGCAAGTTGGTTGTTTCTAGCAGCGGACACATGCTTGTCCCAGGAAGCCAAGCACGTCAAAACCTTTGCAGGGCTAACCTGAGAGCTCCAGGAAGAAAGAGCTTGTGTCCGGAGGGAGCGACAGCGTGGAGGTGAGGACTACGGCTGCTACTGTTACCTCCACCATATACTCGTCTCACCGGAACCCAGGGTCGTTCCTTGGAAATCTGCGCGTCGGGACCTGGTTACGTGACCCTGAACCTTACATCCTAAACCGGCAGTCTGCCTCATCTGTATTGGATGATGCTGCCGAAAGCAGTTGCTGGCATGAAGAGGGTCGGTTTGGGGCTGTAGGCAGGACGGCGACAAGGACAGGTTTGCTGCTCTTCAGACGTTAATCATTCGCTGAATGATGTTTGCCTCAGTGTGAAGAGAGTGCTTACGGGTCTGGGGGCGTCCATCCTGGATCCAGAACGGCAGCGAAAAAATAACGAGTTGATATCGTAAAATGTTTCACCGGGCCTCTGCGCAGCCTCCTGGCTTTGTGTGCTTCGTCACAGATCTTGTCCTTGCATCCGGCACTCCGATGTCAGCGCCGTCCATGTATCTCGGGGGTGTGCAGTGCACGGAGCTTTGGCGCTGCATGTGCAGCTCGCAGTAAGCGCAGCCCAAAGATCCACGCTCGGCACGCGGAGTTCTGGAATTCGTGTCCGTCCTCTTGAAAACTAAGACGGACGGCACTCCTATAGCAGCTGTCAGCATTTTTCTTCTTTCGGAGCAGCAGGCTGGTAGCTGATTGTGAAAGAGCCCTGCCGGCTGAAAAAGCCGTGCTGTACAGCGGTAGGCCGAGCCTCCCCTCAGTATCAGCCTAAACTGGCCCAAGGCCCCGTCTCTGGTTTGATCAGCCGTCAGAGGGTTTGCCGCGCGCCTTGCGAACGAGTGCACCAGGGACTCGCTTGCCGAGTGGCTCACCGCCACTGTCGTCAAGGAGGTTGGTAGTCCGCTGCAGTAGTGGAGCACGCACTTTCTGCAGACGTCGAAGATGAACTACGCGTCGTCCTCGAAGCCAGCGCCGTAGCGCTCGCTCAAGGTGCTGCGGCGCGCTGCCACCACCTGAGCCAGGAATCGCATGTTCTCGGCACGAGGAGGCCAGGCTGGCCAGGCAAGAGTAGCCTGCAGGACACTTGCAGGCTGCATCGGGTCCTCAGTACCGCAGTCAGAGGGACATGTCCACTCGTGCGCCCTGGAGCTGCCGCTGGCGCGGCTGCTCGGTCCTCAAAGGCGTTGAACCGCGACTGAGAGTAGTTTGAGGGAGGGTAGCTGGGGAGGCCGGAGAGGTTGGAGATGAGCTCGACGAATTGTCCTGTCGGCCTGGACGAATTTGAGGGGGCGAAGCTGTCGAGTTGGGAGGGAAAAGAGCTGCCGGGCTGGGGGTGTAGGGAGGAATCTGGCCTGGAAAGGCCGGTGCATCCTCCTCTGGCATAGGAGGGACTGGGGCCTCAGATGTGGCAGCCTCTGCAGTGTTTGGAGTTTGGAGGAGGGGGAGCTGGATTGTGCACACCTCTTCGCGCAAAATGAGAGAGCACTCCGAAGTCGTTGGGGAACTCAAGCAGATGGCCATTTTTGGGACAATGGCGACACGTAAGCCATCCAGGTTTTTCCCGGGTCTTGAGTTCCGAAGGCACGCCGAGCGTCCAGGGCCTCAGCCACGGCCTGTGCGAGACCCTGCAACATTGCAGTTGCGCGCCTTTCGTTTGCGCGGGGGTCGCCTTTGAAGCCCTTCTGCCACTGCCAGCATCTGGTATAGGCCACAGTGATCTTTTTCTTGGTGACGAAGTAGTGGCCATCGTTACCGAGATCGCCCTTGGCACGAAGGCCCGCACTGAATTCCTCTTGAAGGAGGTACACCGGGCCGTAGGTGGGGGATATTCCTGCCCACTGCCGGCTCCTGCTTCATGTCTTCTTTAAGGAACTTCCAAAGGGCCTTGCAGAAGATCATGTATTCGAGATTCGCGACCTTCCTCATTACCTCTTTGGACAAGGCGTGCGCTATGGCGCGCATGAACAAAGGATGTCGAGGCTGGCCATATAGATGATGCCCTGTCTCTCTTGACTCCAATGGCCATGAGCAGGAACTGGCCATGGGCAGGAACTCGGATGGCAGTTTGCCTTTCTGAGTTGGACCGAGTCCCCTCTGCTCGCTCAGCTGCTGTTGGGCAGAGCCCCAGTCCTGCGCCAAGAGCTGCATAAGGTTGTCAAAGGTGACCTTGAAGCCAAATTTGATGTCAATGTGCAGGCCACCATGGTTGTAGTGGTAGATGTACCTGAAAATGTCGGCGCGGTGAGCTGGGTGCTTAAGATTGGAGCACAGGTGCGCTCCATGATCGCCAGCATGCAGAGTGAGCATGGTGAAGAGGGCCTCGTCATTGCAGAAGGTGCGCTCGAAGTCAGGGAGGTAGTCTCTGAAGATTTCTCTCGGGCCCTTCATGTCGTCGTGAATGTAGGTCTGGAAGGCCGTCTTGGGCATGGGTCTTTCCATGGCGCCCGGCTCCAAGTACCTCCGCAAGATCCACTGTTTGTGGGAGCGGCGCGCCGCAATGGAGCCCACTTCCTGCAGGGTTCGTGCCTGACAAAGCTCGGCCGTAGCGTTCAGGAACATACGACCAGTATGTGCGCTGAATTAGGACGACTGCTGCGCATGGTGTCCAGAGCCCGGCCTAGGACTAGACCGATGGCTTGCTGGGCCACTGCTGGCCGAAAATTGCAATCCTTGCTGTTGTAGAGCTGGCTGATGAGATCAGGATCGTCGCCTTGAAAACTCATGATGGTCTGATCCGACAGCTCATAGGCAGCCAGGCCGTATTGAGTATTGGTCCCGCACATGGAGCGAGGCCCGCAGTGAAATGAGCGGGCCATTATCCGCTGGGAATGGTTGTTCTTCTCCCAAGACTCGTGTAAAATGCCATGCCAGGACCTCGAGGACGGGAGGCGTCCGAATTTTGCCTGAGCGGGGCATCACCACAAGGATGCTCCGGGACATATCACGGCCTGGTGCAAGGGGTTGTTGTCCACGCTTTCCACTCCATATGACTTGCCGGAGCCATCCAGCCATAGGAGGTGCTGCAGGGTGCTGTCGCTCAGCACTAGCACTATGAAAGGCGAAGGGGAAGGCTGTTCAGCCGCCATGATGCAACGCAGCGGCCCTCAGGTTGGCCGAGCCTCCTCCGCTAGCAGTGTTCAGAAGTAGACGCGACAGACCTAGCTAAATTGATACATCAAGCCCGCGTGCGACGACGCGTGGTCATGCGGCTCATAGAAAACGCATACAATCGTGGGCATCCAGCTTTTGGGCGCATTGATCTTGCAACTATGCGCAAGAGAGCGCAAGATCTGCTGCCGGAGGACGGTGTGCCTCCGGAAGTGGTCGCGGTTCTGCCCAGTTCCGATAAGGATGCTCCCGTGGAGAAACAGAAAGTGGCGGCACCCGTGGCTGCGCCGGCGACCGTTGAAGAGGCTGCAGTTGAACTGAGGTTGCGGCGACCCAATGCCGTGGTATTGGAGAAGAGCTGTGTTGACGTTACGGACTACGAGGCCCAGCAAGTCGCAGCCGTGCAGGCGCTGGCAGACGTCGCTGAAGAAGGTTTGATGCGGCAAGACAGCGAGCAGGAGGATGGCCCTGCGCCGGAACAAGACGTGGTATCGAGCAACCAACCCATCGACCAATTTGCACCGTGGTATTTTGGCGTAGCCTTTGCTTACCTCTTCCAGTACTGCACAGCCATGCCGGACCCGCCGACATGGGGAGCTTACAAAGACCGCGGCGGTGGCGGCGCGATGCAGACGCTCCACAGGTGCCCTTGCACGACTGGGTGCGGCTGATGTCAAGGCGTGTGGAAAGTCAACTATAGTGAGAGATTGGACATTTGGCTACACAACGTGGAACGTGCTATTCCGCTCCGCATGCTCCGCGGTGAATTTGTCGCGCAGTGTGTACGATTGTGTACGCCTATGACACCCCTGTCTTGCAGGATAATGGCGAATGGCAAAGATTAACGTCCGCCGATTTAGAGGATGCAGCCTTCCAAATTTGACGTGCCTTGTATGGCACGTACACGACACCCGATAACAGACAGTTGCCGGTCAACGGCAGCATGACATTGGTAAAGTACGCATCAGGACTCTCTGCCACCGCCCGCCGCATTGTGGCGAACTTGTGAACCATACCGCACGAACAGTGGCGGGCACGCAGGAAGCTCGAAGAAACATGCGCTTCGAGATCCAAGGCATGCGTGCGCGCTACGGAACCCCAATTGTCGTGACCGTGACACCGGATGAAGGGCACCACAGTCACAGTTGCTCTACATTCGTCTGGCACGACATCGGCAGAGCGACCCCATCCGTCTGGCGGAAAGCAGCATCGGTCAACGAGCTGGCGACCGCCAATGGCCCGGGCTGGCAGAAGATCTTCATTTACACCTGCCGGTCGAGTGCTCGAGATGCGACATCCTAACTGGGAAGAGTACCCCAAGACCAACGAAATCACCGATGAGTCCGCCGTCATGTGTCCTTGCCGTTTGAAGGCCATGGACCTGCCGGCCTCGGGACGACGCAACGCATTGTGTTCTCTGCTTGGGCCTCGTGACGACGGCTATCTGAATGGCACGCATCCGGCTCTCCTTGCTTTTGTGCGTTCAAACTGTGACGTGCAGTTGCCATACCGTCTGCCGTATACATGCGCAGTCTGTGCAGGCCCGCTGGAACCTAGCCAGGTGCGGGTCCTGCGACTACTG